CCCCAAAACCCCAAAACCCCAAAACCCCAAAACCCCAAAACCCCAAGATATTTTAATTAAGTTGAATATTTGGATAAAATAAGATATGGAATCATCTGTTCCGATCTGGCAACACCACAAAGACATTCTCACTCAAGCCGGCCTCGATTTTGACGATATTGAGAAGACCAGAAAACACATCCACCAGAATGCTGAAGGAGAATTCAAAGAAATCAACACCAAAGCCAAGATTCTCGAGTACTTTACTGATGTGGATAAAGATGATATCAAAGAACTAGCCACCACTGGGCTCACCATCGACATCAAAGGGACTGCTCCTCCAACTGAAGAAGGCGAGTGCAATGTCATTGCTCTCAGAGCCGACATGGACGGCCTGCCCATGAAGGAAGAAACTGGCCTTGATTACTCCTCGGTCACCGAGTACGCCCACATGTGTGGCCATGACGGACACATGGCTATTTTGATTGCAACTGGAGTGTTTCTGAAGAATCACAGAGACAAGATTCCGTCTAACAAGATAGTGAGGCTGTTGTTCCAGCCAGCTGAGGAAGGGCCAGGAGGAGCTGAGCCAATGATAAAGGAAGGGTGCCTTGAAGGAGTTGATGAAATCTATGGATATCACAATGCACCAATGGGTCAAGAAGGAACAATTTCTCTTAAATCTGGTCCAGTCATGGCTGGTATCGAAGAAGTTTACATTGACATCGAAGGCGTTGGGGGCCATGGGTCTGAACCAGCTAATGCTACAGATCCCATCACTGCTGCTTGCCATCTTCATAGTGCATTCCACACGATCAAATCCAGAAACACTTTCAACACAGATGTGGTTGCTTTTACGATTTGCGAGCTTAATTCAGGGACAACTTTCAATGTGATCCCGAGGACAGCCAAAATGTCAGGAACCATTAGATATTACGATGAGAAAGTCAAAAATCTCTGTGTCAAGAGAATCGAGGAGCTCACAAATGAAATTTGAGAAGGATTCAATTGCACCTCAAAGGTCTTTATTGGAAATAATTACCCCTCAGTCATAAACCATGAGAAGCAAACAGAAATAGTGATGGAGATAGCCAAAGAAGAATTAGGAGAGGAAGGAATCAATACTACTAAAGGACTTCCTAAATTATCCAGCGAAGATTTCTCATTTTACCTTCACAAAGTTCCTGGCTGATTCATTTTCCTCAACAATGTGAAACCAGGAGAGACTCCTATCAGTCTGCACTCTTCTAAAGTGGACTACAATGACAATATCACCGGAACAGGAGTTTATCTCTATGTGAGGATCCTTGAACAGAGATTTGGCATATCTCTTCTCGAGTCTCCAAATTCTGAATCGTAACTGGAAAGGATTCAATCAAAAATCTTAATATTGGGGTTTTGGGGTTTTGGGGTTTTGGGG